TTTGTTAGAATCTGAATTTTCTTGTAGTTCCAGATACCTATCTAATTTCTTTTCAGATCACTGAGTTACTTGGTTCTTCTTGAATTGCTTTCCCCTTTTACCATCTATTTACAAGAACACAATTTGTCCATTTAACCAAACATGGGACTGGCAAAAGGAAGGCAGAGATTTCTTCCTCTTGCACATCCAGAAATGTTCACCAAACCCAAGGGTTTGGGTAGTGATTCTAGCCCAGTCACTGCCATAAGCATCCTCATTGTATTTCCATCCTGACAGCTCCCTGCAGGACACTGAATGCCGAGCTCTGGGGCTGAGACTTTCACAACAGTTTTAGGAGATCATCAGACTCCTTAGAGGGTCTCTGTGTGAATTTGGCCTACTCCAGCCAGTCTGCTCAGGATATTGCTTTCAGTGATCTGGTTTGGGGATGACACAACCTGGGTCAGCCCCATCTGAAAATGGAGTGCTGAGTTACTGGTGTGAGCAGGGCATCCCTTCACAGCAGCCCTGGATTTGGGGTTAACAGAGAATTTTTTTCACAAGCAGGGAAAGCACAGGTCTGCCCAGTGAAAGCACACTTGTAGAAGCACAAATGTGTCTTCCTGGGTACTGTTCAGTTCCCCAACTCTCTGAAAACTGCAGTGCACATCTCCTCATCACATCACCAACCAAGGCAATGATCTGGCTCACGTGGTTGCAAGTAGGTCCTGCTTAGATGAGAGTTCTGTCAAATGTGTGTGCATGAGAGCTTCCGCACAGCTGTAGGTTAATAGACAAGCAGGAGAAAAACCCCATGTGGAGCAGATGCAATGGTGTGTTTCAGACCTAAAGGAAGTGTGGGATAAAACAGGAGCTGGGCTATCAAGGAGTCAATGGCACAAGGCAATACAGCATGTTAGCAAGAGATAGAAAAGCAGCCCAGGGGAGAAGAACTGAGACAAGCCCTGGGGCAGATTCTGTTTGTCTCTTTGGTGATCCATGTAGTGGAAAAGAGAGAGCACATCCCTAGAAAAATGATGGACAATGAGATAAAATACTGCCAGGGAAGGTGTGGGGAAGTAGAGGAATTTTTTTAGCTCAATTTTTCAAGCAATTCATTTTGCTTTTCAAGAGACTTAAAAAAAAAAAAAAAATCCACAAAAACCCCAATGAGTCAAGGAGCACTAAATTAGTTAGGATGGTGCTCTAGCAAATCAAGGGCTTGATTGTTCTGTGGTTTGCCCTAGATTTAGGAGAAAGTGCAAAATGTGCAACATTTTGAAACTACAGGGTGAGCTGCCCCCAGGGCTCCACCTCATGAGCTGGAGTGTGTGTGCCACAATGGGAAACAGCAGCCCCCTGAGGCCCTTCAGGAAACCCACCTTAACTTGATGCTGATGCTGCCCTTGGCAGAGCTCAGAAATCCAGGCACACCTGGCTCAGATGTACACAAAGGGAGAAGGCACCAGAAAGGGGGATGTCCCAGGCTCCCTGACCTGCAGCACTGAACTGAAGGAGAGGAAGAAACTGCATCCATGAAGAAGGTATTAGGGTTGTGAGGACACTGGGAACATGCTGCCTTTCTGTCATATAGCTGTGCTACAACCTTGAGGCCGACCTTGGAAAATGATGGAAAGGGTCTTGTGAAGGAGAATGACTGGAGAGAATGAGCCAGAACAAACCCATGAAAAGCATCTGAAACCCCTGTGGCATTTCCCAGTCTCATATTCCTGCAACACCATGACCCTGGCTGGTCTCCTCTCCTGCTCTCAGCTGCTCTTGCCTCTTTCCCCTCAGCCTCTTCCCCTACTCTCAGGCTGTACCTTCCAAAGCTCCAACTTCACTTCCTGTAAGCTTGTCCAACCTCCTGACCTACAGGCACCAAAAAAGAGTTAGAAAAACCCTCCCTGCTCAAAGCAGTCTGGTCCAACTGGATTTTGTCTCTCTTTTAGAGATGCCTTAGGATGTTATCAACAAACAAGTCAGTTTACCTCTGATTCAAGAAGGCCATTTCTTCGAATTAAAGTATGATTTTATCTCTTTGTCCCTAATCTCTTACTTTCCTGCGTGAAGCTGGCATGGGTGTGGGCTCCCTGGACCTCTCCTCTGCATTGCAGCTGTCAGACTTTTTACACATGTCACAAACTTGGTACTCTGCTCTATCCAGTAAGTAAACTGGGTTTCAAAAGCATGCCAGCTTACGTCCTCCCTTATCAGAACAAAGCTCATAAGAAGGAAATGTGAGGCCTCCCTGAGGGTGCTGGAAAGACACGGTGGATAATAGGAAATTTTTGGAAGGAGATTTGAGAAGTGGATTTCGCTCACTCCCTATATTGATAAAGCCTTATCATATTCCTTCTCAAAACCAGGAACCACATGGTGAGACACCGTTTTTAAATGTTAATGCATCTTTAGAGAATAATCAGTAACGTTTGATGGCTTGTGCTAGCTCTAGGAGAGGTTTCTTTGTTGTTTAAGAAATGAAACAGCATTCATCTGGAGTTTCTTGTCATTACTGGATGAAAGAAAGGTTATTTCTTTAGGAAAAAAAAAAAAGAGGAAAGAGAAGATCTAAATGATAAACATAAAATACTTATCTTCTCAGATGTCTCTGGGATAATGTGAGCTGAAAGGAAATGCTTATCTCACTGAAGGACAGCTTTTGGCAACATGGTTTTCTACATGGTGCTAAATTATATTAGGAGCACAGGACAAAGGTAGAGGGATCTGTTTAAAAGAGTGAATTATGAGCCAGGTGTAGTAACTCTTCAGGTCCTGCTACTGAATCACTCTGTAACCTTGGCTAGGCCACACAGACCTTTCTGCCTCAGCTTCTGCTTGGGAAAATAATTCATGTAATAGCCAACAGGAAAATTATTTTCATGATTATCTACAAGTTTACTGTCTGTGTCATGTACTGCATGATTATATATTTTTAAATGCAGCTGCTTGTATATCTCGTTATCTACAGAAGCATTCCCTCATTAGCTGGGAGATTTATCTTTGGTCTTTGAAGAAATCCATGGGCCAAGCAGGGTTCACCTCCAGGGCTGGGTTCAGCTGCATATAATCAGGCAGCACGGGCTGTCAGCTGCCCACAGCACCGACCTACTCATGCCAAGAAGAGCAGAATCCAGCCTGGACAGCCTCTGGTTGCTTTTGAGAATGGACCACATTTTAAAAATAATTACATATTTTGATGCTTTCAATTGTCATGTCAGCCAAGAGGTGCCCTAGGAAACCTGCCTTCTGGAAAACATGAGTGCCTTTAACCAAACATAAAGCCTTTTTTAGATATCTCTTGATACACCTATATAGTGGGAGGCCAAAGATCATCATTGTTTTTTGATATTCTTAAGCAGTCCCTTTTTTATTTTTAATTTTGATTTAAAATGAATATGATAATTAAGATGCTTTGTCTTTTCATTTTGTTAATTAATCAGGAATTTGTTGATTTGATTTTGAGTTTTAAGCATTTACTTGCTTTTGTTCATTTTGTAAACTCTGCTGACACAATGCAGAAATCATGTCAGGCAAGGACCACATTTCCTTCCTGAACAGGCACATTCTGCTTTCCTGCCCCAGCAAGCTGCTGTTTCACTTGTGAAAAAAATTCTAGTCTGGGAAAAATAATACCTAATCATTAATAAATAACTTATACAAATCAGAAATCACAAAGGAGTGAAACCACTGTCTGATGGATTTGCCTGTGAGGAAGTGAGGTTGTTGTGCGACCTTGGGTGATGAATTAATTTTACATTCCCGTGTCTATGCTTCCTCCTCCATCCATTCTTTTGTCCTGCCTGCCCCACATTCAAGGTAGTCAGGGCAGGGACTATTTCTCATTATGTGAACATCACTATGGGCTTTGCAGAGCTGTAAAATGCACATATGAGGAGCAGTAGCTGGGACAGAGATAAGAGAGTAGCATGTGCCTTGTGTATTGGATCATGGGGTGACAGGCAGGTGGTAACAAGCCACAGATCTCTGGAGTCCCCTGTCCCTTGCTGGGGGCACTCCCTGTGGCTAGGCAGGGACACAGCTGGTGCTGTGGGGAAGCAACAAGGGCGTGCCTCTGCCATGGCAGGGCAAGGACAGGGACATCATGTGTGGGGAGTGACGAGGTGAGAGTGCTGCGTCATGGTGGAGATGGGATTTGTCACCATGGACAACAAGCTTTGCAGGTCTGCTGGTGGCACACATTGGCTGAAGAGCCAATTTGTTTATCTCTTTTGCAGGATCTCCTCTAGAGAAGAAATCCCTGGAAAATCATGTGTTTGCTTGAATGCCATAGGTATGGTTCCAGGGACTCTAAGGCTGACCTGGTGGACTCCAACAAACCCACCTGCCATGCAGTGACCATGCAATGTATTTGACACAGGCAGCATGGCTTTGGAAAGATCCCTTCCATAAGGGTCTTGCCATTATTTGCTGCAAGTGCAGGTGATATTTGGAGAGAGTCTGATGAGCAATCAACACTACAGATGTGCTGTATCATGTATGATATCATATCAGTGCTCTACTTCAGACTCCAGCTGCTGCAGCCTGCTTTTGGTGAAAATGAAACCATTCAACCCATATGTACTCTGTGAACCCTGAGAAGAGTCTTTGCATCTCCATTTAGAGCCCTGATCCTCTGGTCCAGCCTCTGACCATGGCTTCGAGAATCTCTTTGATCACAGGGATGCTTTCCAAAACATTTATTTTTAGGGTTGTCTGTGCCAAGCAGGAAATGCAGGGATGTATTCCCCAGCAGAGCCATGGAGCCCCAGGTGTGCAGAGCTGCCTTGCCCAGCTCTGATTTTCCCTCCACACCTTCCCCCAGCACACAGGACCAAGCACCAGTTGCACAGACAGACACACGCTCTCTAAAGCCTGTGGTGCTTTTGCTCTCAAGTGAAACACTTTCTGCCAGCAAAGAAGGGGAACAAGAAGGATCTTAAAAACAACCAAAAAAAAAAAAAAAAAGGACAAAAAAAGCACCCAAAGGAGGAAAAGGAGAAGGAAGATTATTTCCTTACAGTCGGTTGTGATTTCGTAGGGGGAGTTGAGGCGCGCGTCTCCGCAGGGGGAAGTGCTCACGTACAGATGGAACAGGATGTTCTCCCGCAGCCTATAGCCTCCTTCTTTTAATCGCACGAAGATTGATCGCTCCCAGTCTTCTCGCCGTTTGCTATGATCACAAAAGAGGTTCCAGGTCATTTGTTACATGCCAAATCAGAAACATTTCTGTGCTCTCTCTCCCCCCTTTTCTCCCTCTGCTTGTTTGTTTGTTTTTATTAGCACCCGGCATCATATATTTTGCCTAGTGACAACAAGAGAAAAACAATAAGCTTCTCCAGGTGAAGAAATGTGTGAAGGAGGTCAAAACTGCCAAAGGGCTTTTGGCTTGGTTACCTAAGATACATTCTAATGATAAAATGTGGATTTTGAAGGGTAACTCTCCTTCCTCACATGCATGGATGCATAAACACACATTTTAAAGTGGTTCTGGTGCATGAAAAAATGAATTCTCTTAGGCTCTCACGTGAACACAACAGCTCTGCTGACCGCAGTGCCTAGGCACATGTTAGAATCCCATTAACATCAATCACCACAGCTGAGATGTGTGTTCATATACTCCACTGAAGAGATCCTCTAACAAAGCACCCAAATTTTATGACTGCTGCCAGCCCTCCCTGCTCCCCAGGTGTTGCTCTTTCCCCCCATTCCACCTGAGCCACCTACAAGTGCTCCACCCAGGCCAGCAGGGTCCTCTTGGTCACCCAGCATTTTTGGAAATCAGAAGCCATCTTAAGAAGGGTGGACAAAACTTGTGCGAGCTTGTCTCAGCTGAGTTGAGAAAGATACTTACTGAGATGAAATGTTTATCTTTGCAGTGGTTCAGCAGCTAGATGGGGATGCAGTGCACATATTCCATTAGCAGCAGCTGCCCGGGAGGCCAAACCCTCCCAGTGCTGCCATTTGCAGCAACAGTGCAGCATTAAAGCTCTGCTGCTGTGCAGCTCCTCCAATGAGTTACATTTGGGAAGATATGGGTGATTTCTCTGACAGACAGCTGCCTCTAATGCGTGTATTTGGGCAACGGTCACGATTATAATTTTGAAGGTGAAAATGTGATTGGTGAAATTATGATAAGACTCCCTTTGATGGCCTGGTCCTTCCCTCAAAAACTCAAGGGTCTTTTTGGGGGAATATCTCTGAACAGAACAGCATCTGCAGGTATTGGTTTTCCTAGGGTGCTGTTAATAAGGTGGAATCCCACCCGTTTAATTCACTACAGGACAGCCCATTAACCAAGGCGGATTCTGCCTGTCCCTGCCTCCCAATAGCGCAAACAGGGGTGCTTTTTATTCAGCCTTTGAGCAAGTCCTTGGCTTTCATCCAAGCTGCCTCTGCCTGTTTTCTTCCAGTGCAGCCTCTGTGCTATTGAAGCTGTTTGGCTGTCACTCTTCCATGGTTTGGGTGTTTTGTCATTTTTTGATGCCAGGATGCGTTTGCTGTCAGGAGGAATTTACAGGCACATTAGCTCGCCTGTCAGGGACAGGGAGTCACACCCGCTGCCGAGCTGGGGCTGCCACATACAGCTCCTTCATTTTCTGCTGGCTGTGGTGGAATTTCCCAACTGCACTAATTATATTATCACCCTGATACAAGCCTCTGAAATAATAAAATCTCTATAAGTCCTGATGCTTGGACTTTTAGAGGAATTGCAGGTAGTTCTAAATAATTTACTGCAAAATCAGCTGGGAGAATACAGAGCTGTGCAGTCCAAATGCCTGCTATTATTACATTAAATCTCACCAGAGTGTGGGGGGGCAGCTAACAGTACTTGGAGACAGTTGCTATGTAGGGTTGGAGCAGTCATGCTTTGGGCTGGATTTCAGGAGTTCAGCTTGCATCCTGTTTTCACTGGTCATTATTTTTCACTGATTAACCTTGCTCTCTTACCTCTTTATGAGAACCAACAAGGGTCTGTGGGCAGTGTGGCTGCCAGGCTGGGTGATAGACAGCTGCTCTAAAAATAGTTGGCAGGGCTGGAGGGCAAGGAGCTTGACTCTCTCCTCCAGCAGACTGAGGCTCTTCATATCACATGGGGTCCTGACCTACCTTTGGGATGGTTTTTTAGGAGCTGAACTCAAACATGAGGTTCATTCCTGCACAGTGGCTGAATAGGCTTAGTAACAAAACTCAGCGAGTATTGCTGGAAAAGTTTGTGTTGCAACACTATCTGCCTTGGCTTAGTAAAGATTCTTGTTCATGGGGTGTTTGGTGTATTTCAAAACCCAGGGGGACCTTGTAAAAATGGTCCAGGTAAAGCCTGAGATGCACTTCTGCAAAGTCATCTCTACTCTAGCACCAGTACCCTTGTGCTTTGCCTCTGGGACAGGCGTTTTGAACTGTGAGAGGGAAAATGAGTTTGCATCAGCTGTTCTTTACAATGTCCTTTGCACAGCCATACACAACCTGCACAAAGCAATGGAGAGAGGAGCCCACAGTGAGCCTACAGATCCCATTCATTCAGGGGGTGGCATTAAAGTGTCATTTCTGCATGCTAGCAATGGCTAAAAGAGCAGAATTCATCCCTAAACCTTTTCCTGCTATGAATTTCTGTGGGAGTTAGGATTTGAGGCTCATTGAAGAAGAACATTTAAGAATGTGCTAAATTCTAATCTTTTGCTTAAGTTCATTATTCAGCATAACACATGCCCATGTTTTGAGCTGCTTCAACAAGATACTTAAGCACATGGTTCTGATTTAATATATATTACCCATTTTGGTGAAACAAAGGCAGACAAGCAGAAGAACAGTTTTTAGCATGTAAATATTTGTATGTACAGGAAGTTTCTAGTACTACATACTACAAGAGAGCAACCTAGAGAAAATAACACCAGGCTTAGTAGATGTGTAACAAGAGCTGATTTTCCTGGGAAAAAATAACTTAACTGGACTGGATTAGGACTATTCCTTGCTTTTTATGTATAAAATAAACAGTGGTTTGCATCTGACTTGCTGGAAGAGCTTACCTTCTGGTAAAATCATCTTCCTGGCACCTGAAGAGTGCACTACAGCAGCAAGCCTACTGTGGTGCTGATTTATTTTAAAGATACTCTATTAATTTTATTTTTCTTTAAAACGGTAGAGTTGTATTTTCTTTTTGTCCCTATTGGCCAGCTGGTATAAATAATACCACTGAAAATGATGTCAATTTTCCTACCACCATTGCAAGAGAATCAGACTATCGTATTTGTGTGCTTTTTGATGGTGATTCTTAGAAAAAGCTTCTCAAAAGGTCTTTCTTGTCCTTCTTTTGAACATCAGAAAATTTATGTCTTATTTCTCATCTCTTTCGTGAAAGTCTGGAGAACTGGAGGATTATGGTTGTCATAAAAATGAAATCTGGGAGGGCTAAGGGTTTTAATCAGGCTGGTTAGAAGCTGACAGGTTTTAGTTGTGCTTTTAGCCTTTATTTAACTCAAGCTCTAGACAATGAATTGTTGAAAGAAAGTTTCCTTTTGAAGTATTTGTCACTCTTGCTTCTTAGAGAGGATAAAGTTCCCATTCTGGAACTCTTTCCCAAGAAAAATCAGGAAAGTCACACCTCTTCTAGCAATAAGAAGAGAAGGGGAAAAAAAGCAATTTGCATATTGCTGCAACATTGGCTTGTGGATGGAATTGTTCTGCAGCTTAAATATTTGAAGAAGTTGCCATATTCTCTCTTTAGAGAAATGGAAGAAAATTTGCCCCAGCACATGGCAGTTCATCTCACACCAATAGATACCTGAACAGGTCTGCCGAGTTCCACCTCAGAGATGCCCATTTCTCTCCACTGCTGATCAAAGGAATCTTGGAGATTTGGATATGACATGACTTCCACAAAATAAATTAATTCAGTGAATCCCTGTCTCCTCACCATCAGTTTTATATCCTGGTCCTTGCTTTCTCCAGCCTGCCTGCCCTTGCTCTTAGAAGCCTTCATGCTACACTCAGCAAAGTATGTGTTTTACTTCTACTGAGATGAATGGCAGTATTTGTAAATTCCAGAAAAAAGGTTCCTTTTCAAAGATGGCATCACACAGAAAAATATTTCTCGCACTGGAAGCTCCTAAAAGTTGAAATCCAGCTGCAGAGACCACTCTCAGTAGGTAGGCTTTGTGGGAAGAAGGTATGTGGAAAATAAGAAATACTTTCCACAGAACAAACTTGCCTGTTCCATAGTGAATGATGAAAAATTTATGTTTTGTGAGTCAAGAATGATGCTCTCAAAAGAAAACCATCTTTTTGGTTTCAGTTAATTTATGACTTTGTAGAACAGTTGCCTGGCCTGGGAGAGGAGTTTAATCTGGGCCAGGTTAATGCAAATGCATTACAATAGCTTTGTGTTTCCCCAAGCCTGAGGAGATGGTGTTCAGGTAGTCCCAGGGGAGCTGAGTTACCATGTCTGTTCTAAAAACTCCATCCTTATAGCTATGTGGCAGCATCATGTGTTTTCTCTGTGAAAAGGAGATGTCTTTTTTTCCAGAGAAAAAGGTGTAAATATGATTTCAATGTGCAGAAAATGAATTTTTTATTTTATTTTACCCCCCCCCCCCAATTTTTCCCCAAATGCAAAAGTTCCCAAT